ATTTCGGATCTGGACTACCCATATGGGTGGGACCAGTCTGATATGTTTCAGAGATGTTCTCTCTTTAATGGCACAAGATGAGCTAAAACCAGCTTGAGAACTGAGCGGGGACCCACCGAAGGGCAGGCTATTTCAGTTGCTGCCTGTTCTCAGTATTCTCTTGCGCCCTGTTTTTTGCTCTCCATAAGTTTAAAGGGGAATCCTGACGTGGACCCCTTGCTCACTGTGCCTAAAGAGATATCAGCTATGCCTCACTGATGATGGGGTTGCTGTATCTCTTATGCAGAGGGAACTTGCTGGCATTTTGGATCTGGACTGCCCGTATGGGTTGGACCAGTCTGATATGTTTCAGAGATGTTCTCTCTGTAATGGCACAAGATGAGCTAAAACCAGCTTGAGAACTGAGCGGGGACCCACCGAAGGGCAGGCTATTTCAGCTGCTGCCTGTTCTCAGTATTCTCTTGTGCCCCGTTTTTTGCTTTCCCTAATTGCAAGGGTGAGCATAAATCTCTGCCTACCGGACTCCCAACTAAGATAAGCCGTGACAGCTGGTGTGAATGAAGTAGTGGGTTTGGGGGATTCTCCGCTGGTTCCCCTAGGCTGATGGTCTTGTTTTGTTTCCACAGGTCGAGTTGCTTGGATCATGTGCCATTTGTTTGTGTTCTCGGCAAAGAGGAGGGCTGCAGCTCATTTACAGGATCCGCAGCTGGGCTTTCCAAAGGACCAGATCGCGATTAAGTGGTACGGTTACTGGGGAGCTAGTTGAGGTAATGTTATTGGGGCGGTGTTTAGACTAGTGGGATGTCTCCTGATTTCCTGTTGTTACATGCAGGAGGCATTGATTTGGGCTTGGTAAAATGGATGAAGCAGGATATTAACCGGCTACGGGACTTGGTCCTTGAGGTTTTGGTCGTCTGGTCCGAAATGGTCCCCTGACTTCAGTGGTGTCACGCCAGGGATACGGCCACTATTGAGCGTTGCCGGGGTAAGGTGACTAGCCTGATGGACAGTTTCGTTAGGAAGGTCGGGGGGTGGTAATTCGGCACAGGGAGCTTGAGGACAGGTTGCCTGGGTATTTTAGGCAGGACAGGTTCCACCTCAAAGACGTGGGAGTGGGATCTGTTGAATCCCAAGTTGAATCTGGGTTTCCAGAAAGGGTTGGGTAGGGCCTTGTTCCTTAGGGGTGGTGGAGCTCAGACGGCTTAAGGGATCAAGGTCTGAACTTGTGGCGGGGCTAGAGAGAGAAAAGTTATGGGACAAACAGGGTCTGGGTTAGTGTAATTAGAATAGGGCAGTTAGGCTGCTGGTTAAGAGTTTGGTTAAATGGTTCGTTATGAACTTTGGTAGGTTTCGAGCTTGGTGGTGGCTCAGAACATGGTAAGTTGTAGGGGTATCCGGGTATACCCCTACTGTGGTTATTTAACCTAGTTTGGCACTTATATTATGTTTATGATGTTTGTTGTTATTGTTATTTATGTTGTTTATATTTATGGAAATTATGGATCATTGCCTTTTGTTTGGGGACATATGATGTTATATGGCGGGATGGGGAGCTGGGGCAATGACTTTAATTTTATTGTTGGCAACATTAATAAAGCTGTGGATATATTGATCCATACATTAGTGTCAGTTTGTTTTTGGGTGTAAGTTTTAGGTGTAATTCCACCTGCCCATATGGTCCGTTAAATTAAAATTAAAATTTTCCCCACCCCTTCCTATCAAGGCCGCACTTTGACTGACAGTCACTCACTGACAGACATACACACTCACTGACCGACACATACACACATTCACTCAAATAGACAGACACACTTACAGACACACACACATTGACTTACAGACACACACACATTGACTTACTTCACACACACATTTACTTACTTTTATTTTATTTAAAATCCACCCAGCCTCCCTGGGAGAGCTGGAGTGGATTACTTACCTGCAGTCTATTAGGGCTCCTGGGCGGGAAGGTAGGGGGCGGACACGCAGGGTAGGCGGCGAGGGAGCTTTACTCTTCCTGCTCAGCTCCTTCGCGCGCCGCTTAGTGATGCTGGGAGCCAGAGTGATGTCATATTCCGGCTCCTGGTTTCATTAAGCAGCGCGGAGGACGCTGAGCAGAAAGAGCTCAGGTGAGTATGCTCCCTCGCTGCCCGCCGCCAGACTCGGGGGGGGCTCAAAAGTGGCCAGCTGGCCAGCTCTTGAGCCCCCTAGGACACAAGGCAAGCAAGGGATCTGCCTAGGCGTTTGGGAGCGGCTTTTTTTTCCGCCCCCTGCAATGTGCCGCCCAAGACAGATGCCTTGTTTGTCTCATGGAAGACACGTCCCTGCATATGGCGTCTATGCACGTGTCAAGGCAGTGAGATCTCTCATTGGAACAAGAAGCTGTAACTCTTTACATCCCTGAATATTGTGGTTTTGCAAGTATTCCTCACCTTGAATTCTCACTTTAGTAAATAACCCTGTAAACAAATTAGTAAAGCAAACAATCACAAACACTTCTCCTGACTTTGTGTATGCAATTAGCATGAACTAAGTATACACGATTGTCAGAGTCTGCACCCATTACCAACAATCATGTATACATGATTACAATCACTGCAAATGAATTACAGATCTTTATTGTTCTTACTATAATGAACCCTTTCCTCTCATGTAAGTTCAAAGGCCTGGCTTCCAATCTCAATGGGTCACCTCTTGTCTGTTGTATATTCCTGCTAGTGAACAGGTTAGCACTTACGGTTTTTACTGACCCTGTATATATTTGCATAGTGCTATCATATTCCAGGTGAGACCACTTGGAGTTGTTTGAAAATAGTCTCTTTAAAGTATTCTATTTTTTCTATTGTTAATTATGAGTGGAAAAACAGGGGTTTAACCCCTTAAGACCGGAGGGCGTACTATTACGCTCTATTCTAAGCTGCTCTAAACGCCGCCGGGCATAATAGTACGCCCTCCGGTCTTTTCCTACTTACCCGGTCGTTGGCGATCCCACGCCAGCGATCACGGTTGGGGGGACTCCCAGGGAGCCCCCCGCGGCACGTCCGACCCCCTGGAAGCCCCCCGGCCATGTGAGAGTGGGGTCATTGCGAGGACCCCACAATCACATGGCCGGGGGTAGCTGGCTGCAGCATTGCCAGCAGGGGGACTGCCTGTAATGAAAGGTGGTCCCCCTGCTGGCTGGAAATAAAATTAAATAAAATAAAAAGTGTAAAAAAAATAATAATATATACTTAGATCAGTATATATACACACACGTATATATACACATATACATACACACACGTACACTGTCTAGGTGTATTTTACTATTACGAACAAAACAAAAGAACTATTAGATCTCTGTGTATATACCCGTTGAACCACCCCAGAAAGGGTGTAATTGGGACAACCCAGAGACTCATGTACCGATAGGAGACTCCAGGTATCTCCAAAGGGGCATAACCCCAAGTTAGAAAAAAGACAACAGACAATACGAAATTGCAACTGGTCCCAGTATATAGATAGTCCTGGGAACGGTCACAATGCATGGAAAAATAATATATATATGGTGTAATGCCGTGTGATAAAAAAATCTGGCTGTTACTTCTATTAAAGACCAAAAGTCCAAATAATCAAACAAAAATATATACAGGTGGTACTAATAATTCTATGCCAAAAACCCAGAGAGAAAAAATAGGTATACAGTACATAGTAGTTAACCAGACCTAAACATGAGCTTTAATATAATATGCTACATAGGAATAATAAGGTAACTACAACCTAATTATGAAGACCTGCTGGGAAAAGTCTAGTATTGAGATCTATCAGGACATAAGATATATCTGCCTATAAACCAACTATCCACAGGATAGAAATACTCCAGCACTATCTATCCAGATGGTTAATGCAATTATGGATTAGAGTATATATAAACTATATAGATTTACAAACAAGGTGTGGAAAGGTGGCGCTATTAGAATATGGTGAAAAGATAAAGTTCAGCTGCTAAAAAACACTCCGTGGGTACTCCTATACACCCACCACACATAAAAAAATCACCAAGAGAAACAGATAAACTTAAAGGTTTGCAGGTATAACCATTAAACCCTCAGTTTTTCTCGAGTGTAGCGCTCCGTGTTGTTTTGAAGAATAGATTAGTGAATATATATATAGTGCTTCATATGCACTTACCCTCTATGTCACACTTGTATTACATATAGGGAAAAAGAAAGAAATACAAATAATCGTGCAGTATATCGAAATAGTTTTAGTGATTTTGTGAGTTTTTAAGTTTAAATCCACTCACATTTTTTAGAGCCTTTTACAGTTTTAAGGCTCTAAACTTCCTGGTGTCTGTGTCTTTTCCGGGTAGAACACACGACCCTTCTCTCACGATATGCACATATATGTTTTCCTCCAAATTGGACAAAGAAAAGATAGATGATCCAATCTAGGTGTAGTATTTTAAGTATTGATAAAATCAATATAAATAAAATACAATATTGCTCACCTTGTTTAGAGCCCTTGGTACCTGGCTCTAAGTGTGTAGGCCTAGTGTCAAATAGTGGGGTGACACTACCCCTTCTTGAAATCACTTGAGTAGGATGCAGTGAGTTATATTTAAAATAAATGGTATATTTATTACTTAGAAAAGTTAAAATTAAAATGTATACAAACTTTATATAAAATAACAAACAGGTATATAGAAAGTTCCAAATGGAAAATAAATGCCAAAACGCGTTTCACCGTCAAACGGCTTCCTCAGTCAGCTTCTCATCTTCCTCTGCACCGTGTCAGTATTTATGTCCTCATAATTCCCGCCAGAAATCCGCTTTGTTTTCGTCCGGTGTGATTTCCGTGACGCGGGCCGATGCCGTCGCGTCACTTCCGGTTGTTCGTACTACATTCCCCATCATGCTTAGCGTTCTGTGGCGTCACTTCCGGTGAGCGCCAATATAGTCCTGGGAAATGGAGTCCTCAAATATGCCGTTTTTCGGATTCTCCTCGGCACATATATGGATGCAAACATGGCAATAGAGTCAAAAAGCAAGAGCTTTTTATTTTCCAAAGCAAGAGCTTTTTGACTCTATTGCCATGTTTGCATCCATATATGTGCCGAGGAGAATCCGAAAAACGGCATATTTGAGGACTCCATTTCCCAGGACTATATTGGCGCTCACCGGAAGTGACGCCACAGAACGCTAAGCATGATGGGGAATGTAGTACGAACAACCGGAAGTGACACGTGGTGTATTAGGGGGAGTGGTCTCCTATCATACCACGTGACTTGACCTGCCGTCCATCACGTGACCTATTGCGTCAAGAGATTAAGCGATATGCACGATCGTAAAGCCGATCACATCAAGACTAATCTGCATAAAGCGCCGCCCCTATGAAATCATGTGGGCGAATATGTAAATTTAGGGGAATGTACCCTAACCAGTGAATTGCCCTTGTAACTGCAAAATAAGCCCCATAAATGAGCACATCCCCCAAAGATAGGTAGTAAGTACAAAAAAAAAAACCTTTATATATTATACATTAAATGAAATCCACTGAAAAGTGGTCAAAGAAATACCTTATAATGCAAAATTTAAGGACCAATAAGAAAATAGATAGAGCCCCAAGAAAACAGCTCCATATATATATGGTGTCCTCAATAAGGACCACAAGAAATGTCCATATAGAAATTGTTCCTGGTAGGACATATTTAACAGTAAAGTGGATACAGAAAATGTATCTGAAATCTGAAAAGGTATCATACTTATAATAAAGTGTGATCCTTTATCAAGAAAGAAGCCAATAGTGATAAAAATATTTATTTTATGATTATATACATGTAACCCAAAACTACATATGTATCCTCTTTATATGGTGATTATAATCCATATCACCATACATAATTTACTCTAAAAGACTATTAACATCCTTAAAAAATGCATAATATATATATATATATGATGCATATCCATATCTATGCCCCCAATGAAATACTTGCTTGTATTTATATCAAAATAATAATAATAATGAAAAAATAATAATAATGTGATAATAATCATAAATAATATAATAAATGAAAATAAAGTAAAATATAACACTGCACACACCATACTACAAAATCTACAAGTGTATCCGGCATCTATAACGTGTGTTAACAAAAAGATATATACATATATGTATACAGATAGTATATGGAATACACTGAAACGCTTGGTTACATTTAATTATATCTCAGAACAGGGATTCCTATGATCTGTTAATCTACTATAAAGGGTGTGTATGAAAAGCCCTCGTTTAATCCAAACGGTGAGAGGGTTTTGAGCTTGTAAATCCAGAAGCTCTCCCTTTGTAGTAGTTTTTTGTCCAGATCGCCACCTCTTGGTCCAAGTATGACTCTTTCGATGCCACAAAATCTAATCCCCTCTGAAGACCCCCCCATGATGAAGTTTCAAATGTTTAGAAACTGGAGTGTCTATCAGTCTTCTGGGGTTAACTGAGTTCACATGTTCCCCTATTCTCAATTTGAATTTACAGGAAGTTTTCCCGACGTATAGTTTGTTACATGAGCATGTGAGTAGATATACAAGACCTTTAGACTGACAATTAAAAAAGTTTTTTGGGCGGAGCCTGGCTGTGGAGCTGATCAGACGTGGATAGCACGAGCTCCCGTCTGAAACTACAACTAATGCCAAATAACCCGGCTAACAAGCTACAAACTCCGATAAAATTGCACCACCCATGTAGAGGATGCAAAGGAGATTACAATGAAACCGCAAGTACGACTCTAGGACACCGGGAACTCGAGATATATCGCTGGGGCCTACTGCGACGCTTAGACCTGCAACCTGGGTAGAGACAAAGGCGAGGGTGAGGCGGCCGATCACCCAGCCCGAGACTCCCTAGAAACGGACCCTAAAGCTGCAGAGGACCACCCACGAGCCTCCCTCTCCCCCCCCCTTGCCGGTGAGGGATATCCCGGCACCAACAGCATACCGAGTGTCTGCCCCAAAGACTACCCGACCCAAGGACCACCGACTCCAATATGGCGGATGCCACGTGCCTATCGGCAGTTACGGGGGCCAGCGGAGATCCAGCGACTCACTCTCTGTCCAAACTCGACAAAATATTTGCTGCCTTCTGGGCTAAGATAACAGAGAGACAGCTGCACACTGCTTCAACTATGCTGACCACTCCTGCAAATATACCCCCAGAGACCTCCAGCCCTACGAGTGGACGCAGAACGGTCACTACCGGAGGCTCCGCTAAGAGGCGCAGACGGCGGCACCGGCAGAACAAGCGGCAACGAAGAGCCAGATCTCAACCCCACACTCACCTCCGCTTCAAGCGACCACGACTCCGGACGGGTGCCGAAGCGACCTGCCCAACAGGGAAGCGCCAACCCCCCCAACATGCAAACCTCTATCACCAAGGGTCGGAAGCATGGCTTCTACACGCACGCATGTCCTTGACACCACAGGGGATGGCGACTCCCAGGGGCTACAGGGCGAGCCCAGAGGGGATCGGATGAAGGTGACCGGGACAATTGTCAGGCATATCGCTGGACTTCCCCGACTATGCCCCCTGACGCACAAACTGCTTTCTGATTGCTGACTTAACTTAAAGTAACGACCATTAATCTGTTATACCCATACCTTTTGCTGAGGGATTGTCAAGTAATATTTTAAGTACTAGCTAACACAATCTAATGGGGCATCCTAAGCATAGTTAAAACTCACTTGATGGCTGTTGGTTTACCTGCATGAGAACACACTAGCAACTATGAATCTTTATACACCTTCTCACACATAGGCGTAAAAGGAAGTTTGCAATATACATGCTTGTCCTAGTATAATCTGTGTGAAAATATGCTCCAACATGATAATCTTCAACATATATATAACTACATAAAATTGTGCATTGTTAGCATATACCCCTGTTATGAATGTTTTGAAATAAGCACGTGGAATGCCGTCGGGGTACCACCTGCATGCTTGTTACACATATATGCACTGCAAAAAAAAAAAATTAAAAAAAAAAAAAAAAAGAGTTTTTTGTTTGATTATTTGGACTTTTGGTCTTTAATAGAAGTAACAGCCAGATTTTTTTATCACACGGCATTACACCATATATATATAATTTTTCCAGGCATTGTGACCATTCCCAGGACTATCTATATACTGGGACCAGTTGCAATTTCGTATTGTCTGTTGTATTTTACTATTAATATATATATAATTATATATATAAATATTAATATCAAATTACACGTAGACTGATACTGATTAAATATATATATAATTATTGTTATATATATATATATTTATATATAATATAAAAAAAATATGTAAATACGTTAAAAAATAAAATTAAAAAAATAATTAAAAAATATATAGATGTGTGTTATTTCGTTCTAACTGTATTGTGAAATTAATATATATATATATATCAAAATACACGTAGAACGAAATAATATATATATCTATATACATAAATATATACGTATATATCACTATATATACCTATATATAAATAAAAATATTTTTAAAAAATTATATAGATATATACATATATATACACATACGTATATATATACATATATTAATTATACATATATATTTATGTAATATTTTTACATAATTAGGTATCTTAATTAATTACAATTAGCAGGACCTGCATGACAACCCATGCCGAAAGTAAAGGGAATTTAAGTTGCTAGCACTATATTTAACCCTATAACTTTCCGAGACACCATAAAACCTGTACATGGGGGGTACTGTTCTACTCGGGAGACTTCGCTGAACACAAATATTAGTGTTTCAAAACAGTAAAATGTATTATAACGATGATATCGCCAGTAAAAGTGATGTTTTTTGCATTTTTCATGCACAAACAGCACTTACACGGACGATATTATTGCTGTGATACTTTTTACTGTTTTGAAACACAAATATTTGTGTTCAGCGAAGTCTCCCGAGTACAACAGTACCCCTCATGTACAGGTTTTATGTTGTTTTCAAAAGTTACAGCGTCAAATATAAGGCTTGCGTTTCATTTTTTCACATTAAAATTCGCCAGATTGGTTAGGTTGCCTTTGAGACCCTATGGTAGCCCAAGATTGAAAATTACCCCTATGATGGCATACTATTTGCAATAGTAGACAACCCAAGGTATTGCAAACGGGGTATGTCCAGTCTTTTTTTAGTAGCCACTTAGTCACAAACACTGGCCAAAATTGGCGTTTTTTGCATTTTTCACACACAAACAAATACTAACGCTAACTTTGGCCAGTATTTGTGACCAAATGGCTACTAAAAAAGACTGGACATACCCCATTTGCAATACCATGGGTTGTCTACTATTGCAAATGGTATGCCATTATGGGTGTAAATTTCATTCCTGGGCTACTTTACAGTCTCAAAGGCAACGTAACCAATCTGGCGAATTTCAGTTTCAAATGTAACGTGCTATATTTGACCCTGTAACTTCCCAAAACACCATAAAACCTGTACATAGGGGGTACTGTCTTACACGTGAGACTTTGCTGAATATAAATATGTGTATTTTATTGCAGTAAAAGCAAACAGTATTATGACATTGACCATTAAAATGTAATGTAGAACTAAAAAAATCAAAACAAATCGTATTTTCTCCCATATTTTTCATATTAAATTATGTTTCATAGCTAAATATTTGATATTAAATGAAAGCCCTGTTTCCCCTGAATAAAATTATATATAATAAGGGTGGGTGCATTTACTATGAAAGAGGTGAATTACGGTTGGACAAATGCCAGGTTTTGTTTACATTTTGTTTTGTTCACAACGTGTACATTTGGCTCTGTCCTTAAGGGGTTAAACAAACAAGGAGTTTAAACCAGCAAGGTAATTATGGTTTTCGAAGCTTGTTGCCTTTGGTAACTTTGAAAATGGGTGTAAGCAGGATTGGAGGTTTGACTCATTGCACATCTTTGTATAAGTATGCATGCCTAGATGAATCCGTCCAGGGTCCATGCCTTTGTGACAGGTGTGAGTGAGTGGGGGGGTGGAGCATAATTGTAATGACATACATGCTTGGACCCTTTTTGACAGTGTCATGAAAAGGAAGGAGCATAGTCATTATCACATATAGCGTTTTCACAGCTATGGTGTCAGGAATACATGTTTGTATTCCTGACACTTGAGCAAATTAAAGGAACATTCTGGTCACCATTTCAACTTAATCTAAATGAAAATGCTATGAGGCCAGGAATCCCTTGGGTGTTCTCCTTCCTTTAAGAGGTTAAACCTCTCTCAAATGGTTTAACCCAAAAAACTTCCCCCAGCTCCCGGTCGCTCAGTGGTATTCAGCTTCTGAAACTGAGTGTCAGGAAGTGCAGATTGAAGTCCGGCATGGGTGCTGCAGATTGGCTAGAGTGGTCAGTTGACGCTCTAAGCCAATCGCTAGTTCCTGGTCCATAATTGTTTTTTTTTACTTTTTTATGAATAGGGAGCTACTGATTGGCTTAGAGTGCCAGCTGACCACTCTATCCAAGCAGCGGCACCCCTACCCAGCTGCACTCTGTGCTTCCTGACACTCAGTAAAAAAAAGTGAACACATTAACACTGATATTTTTTTTCACCTGGGGGGATGAGAAGGTCCAAGGTTTCCCTGCCAGACCCAGGTACCAAAGCCTTATGATGTGGTGTCCAGAATAAAGTGGAGGGTTCTCTCCTCCTTTGCACCCTTCTGCTCCTTTCTCTTTCTCGTCCCTTTCTGCTCCTTTTCCTACTTTACTTTTGCGCTCCTTCAGCCCCTTTCAGCTCCTTGCTACCCTTTTCTGCTCCTTCTTCTGCTTTACCTTTGTGCTCCTTCTTATTCTTTCTGCTTCTTTACATTTGTGTTCCTTTTGTCCTATCCTGCTCCTTGCTGCCCCTTTCAGATCCTTACTGCTCCTTGCAGACCCTTCCTCCGTCTTACTGCCCGTTTCTGCTTCTTGCTGATCCTTCCTGCCCCTTGCTGATCATTTCTGCTCCTTATCCTACTTTATCTTTGTGCTCCTTCTGCCCCTACCAGCTCATTGCTGACCCTTTCTGCTCCTTGATGTCCCTTCCTGCTCATTTCTGCTCCTTCTCCTACTTTACCTTTGTGCTCCTTCTGTCCCTTCCTGCTCCTTCTGTCCCTTCCTGCTCTGTGCTGGCATTTCCAGCTCCTTGCTGACTCTTTCTGCTCCTTGCTGTCCCTTCCTGCTCCTTGCTGCCCCATTCTGCACCTTCTCCTCCTTTACCATTGTGCTCCTTCTGCCCCTTTCTGCTCCTCGCTTTCACTTTCTGTTTATTTCTGCTCCTTCTCCTACTTTACCTTTGTGCTCCTTCTGATGCTTTCTGCTCCTTCGCCTTTTTGCTCCTTCTGTCTTTTCCTGCTCCTGCTGCCCCTTTCTGCTCCTTGCAGCCCCATCCTGCTAATTTTTGCTCCTTCTCCTACTTTATGTTTCTGCACCTTCTGCCCCTTTAAGCTCATTGCTGACCCTTTCTGCTCATTACTGTTCCTTCTCCTTTCTGCTCCTTCTTTTACTTTACCTTCCTGCTCCTTGCTGACCTTTCCTGTAGGCTGTCTCCACCATCCCTCACTTACCTGATCTATAGGCTGTCTCCCCCCCATTCCTCACTTACCTGATCTGTAGGTGGCTCAGGAGTATCTCTACTGGAGGAAGCTGTTTCTTCTAACCGTCATGGGAACAGCCCCTCTAGTCCGGGTGGGGTTGAGAATGTAAGAAAGGCTAGACAGGTTGTGGTGATAAGGGACTCTATTATTAAGAGAGTAGATAGGGTAATCTGCCGCTCTGATCTTGTCAACTGGACAGGTTGCTGTCTCCTGGTTGCTTGTGTCCAGCATGTTGCTGACAGAGTAGATGGATAATTTAGAGGGGCTTTGGTGTTGGTATCAATGACAGTCAGAAGGGTCCTAAAGAATGAGTTCAGGGAATTAGGAAGTAAATTGAACAAAGGGGCCTCCAAAGTGGTATTTTAAGAAATATTACCTAAAGAATAAAGGCAGCGAGAAACTAGGGAGGTCAATGCGTGGCTAAAGTCATGCTGTAGGAGTGAGTGTCTTGGCTTTTTAGAGCATTGGGACGATTTTGCACTTGGGTACAACCTTTATAGCCATGATGGATTGCACCTAAATGGAAGAGGGTCCGCAGTGCTGGGGGACAGGGTGGCTGGAAGGTTGGAGGAGATTTTAAATTAGTGGTGGGAGGAAGGATTCAGAAATCTCTAAAATAGACATAGGACAGAAAGGAGAAGAGCATTAGCTCAGCACAAGGGTGGTGGAGATGGGGGATGGTCAAGATTAGAAAAGAAGAGGTATGTAATAAAAAAAAATCACATAAAGTACAAATAACTAATTATAATAATACAGTTTGCTTACTAGTGCAAGGAGCCTAAATAAGAAAATGTGGGAACTAGATGCAATAGCATACATTAAGCACTAAGCAATATGATATAGGCATAACAGAAACATGGTGGGATAAGACACATGACTGGGCAGTTA